ACGCGGCTGGGCTTATTAGCCGTGGGCTTAATAGCCGGCGACTACTGTAGTACAGACGGCAGTCTGAACCACAGCAATAAAATTAGTTCGTCGAAGATAAGCAACTTTATAGGTATGCACGCTTTCCGATATCCAGTTCCAAATTAAAGAAGATGAACTAAGATGCAAAATCCTGTTGTACATGGTGCCATCTATTCCCATTCTAGAACGCTGTTATTTCGCGGATTGCATATATTTTTTCCTGAATAATTGAAATCACAAAAAATTAGCCGTTCGAACATTTATTTCACTGCTTGCTCGATCAGCACTGTATGTTTATGTTGATAGTGACTAAAAGTGGCGGTCAGTTTAGTAATGGCAGAGGCTGCTGCTTTATATACGCATAGCGCGTGCGTTCCCCCTTGATACAGCAAGTTGCGAAAACAGCCTCAATTTGGAGAAACCAAACATTGGGGTCGCAAGCGCCGTACGTAAGTAGTTTAGATGGAACTTTAACCGCATTGAGTTCTTCGTTATCTTTTAAGCCGACCAACTTGTGGCGAATGATGTCGTCAGGGGTCACCAATTTGTAGTGGCTAAGGCCTACTGCACGTACAAAACACGTTAGAAAGCGTGGAAACAGAAAAATGCTAAACGTAGTAATCAACTAATAGTAACTAAATGACTATACCAAAATATCAGGAAAAGGGTAAAAACTGTTGAAAAGCAATGTTAATGATAACGATATGACTCACTCTTTCCAATGGATTATCCTTCGCAGTAGCCAAAAACGTTTACATGCAGGGAAGGAGGATTGACCCAAGTTGGAAACCCAGTTCGACCGTCAAAACCCGGGAAGGTTGCAGATCAGTTGCGTTCCAGTCGTTGACCGTTGGTCCTGAGGCCGAGATTGATCGCCAGAGTAGGTGTCGTTAGCAGGGTGGGCGAAGGAGGTGCAGGAAATGCAAGGATACAGGAGAACTGCCGAAGCACGCCACGTGTGTAGTTGTCAAGAGCTCGTGTGTATTAAGAAAAGTGCGCCAAGAGCGTAGCTAATTTTAAGCAAACTTACCACCTAAAAAGGAAAGGTACAAGGACACACGAGTACATCATTCCTGGCGGCTACGGTGTGCTCGTCTGCTAATTTATATTCGTAGGTTGATTCTACGCCCTCAAATGCTACATTGGGCTAAACACGTATTAGTTTGGTTGCATTAGGCTACTACTGAACCTTTGCTTGCCAAATAAAGCCTGCTCAATATGTACGAAATTGCGACTGGCTGAGCCTGCTCACCCTTTTAGTTGCATGCCGATACATACCGACTTTCGGTTTGCCTAGTTGAATCGTCCTCTCACATTTTGGAATGGAATTTTATTCTTTTACATTTTAACAGAAAAACACTGTGCGGTTGAGCCATATACACGGTTCCGGGATACATATTCAACTTTATTAAACTGAAACATTTAATCAATTTGACCGTCAAATAATATTTCGCCGTTCTCGAAACCAGCGCTATTCAAAAAGTTATTGGAAGTTTATTTTTTGTTTGTTGTTACTACGATGTAGGTCTCATTGTGTATTTGTCGATGAATTCTGTTCGGTACTCTTGCATATGAAACCTATAACGCTTATAAATAGGTGTTTCCTCCAAAACCTCAGGCATAAAAGTGGTCGTTGCTTCATCACGCAGTGCCTATCGGCGTAACTGCAACGTTGGCATTAAGTGATTAGATTTAGCTACATGACAACATTATGCTAGCCTGCTTATACACGTTCTAAAAACACTTTCCACCCTTCGTGCCCGTATTATCACCGCAATCTCTTGCATTTATCGTTTAGCCCGAAATTTCTTTAGTCCATTTGTAAACTATAGCTATGGAATGGAATGCTATAGTGGCATTGAGGTGCACGACTTCAGTAAGTTATAGAAAATAGGCCTGATAAAAATGTTCATTAAAAAATGTTTAAGTCTCGTTTTCTGGCAAACTTTGCTATTTTGCGTTGGAGTGTCCGGGTAGTCAATGTTCGCCATAATTTTGAGTCATGAGGACGGAAGACTGTCGTCTTGACTCTCCATTGTTCTGACAGGCAAAATTAGCGTTTCTTTCGAAAAGTCACTGGAAAATTCGACGGCGGTTATTGAGGGCTTTCGTTGACGCACATAATAGAGTGAACTCAGCTGTCTTGATTTTAGCCACTACCCGTTCAGTTGCACAACGCTTTTCAAATTTTTCACTGTTGACAGGTATGCCACGGCGATTTTTTTTTGGATGCGGCCGTGGCAATGCAAGTATAGTGACCAAGCAGTAGTGCGGTGGTGAAAGATTGCACTTATATCCCCTAGGTTACCTGCACTCCACTTTCGTGAAGAGATCGAGGCTGATAGAAATAGAGTTCGCGTACTAATGTAGTCTGTTATGGTAGCAATATTTTATTAAGGTGAAAGTAGTTGTAAAATTATAACTTCAAGGATGGCTTATGGTACCCTGTTAAAAGTCTACCGTTAAGTCGTGCCCCAATAATTATATCTTGTTTCCAACGGCAGCCAAAGTAACTCCTTATGCGTCATGCTTAGGCTAAAACCAGACGGGGTTTCGGAGGGAGGCGGTTTGGCGGTCCTGATTGTGAATTTATCTATGTTAACCCACCATGGCT